AAAATTAGTAAAAGTTAAAGCACACAACAACAAAAGCGTGGACAAGGGGTTGGCCGGGCCCCAGGCCCCAGGGGCTGACGGGGCTTACGAGTGGGGTGTGGGAGGGGGTCGGGGGCTTTGGCTGGCAGCTGAGGTTTGGCTAAATGGGAGCAACACGAACTGCTCTGCAATTAAAAACAAGCGAAATTGTGCCAAAGCAACGGCCACGACCAGCAAATACCCTGTAAAAGCAAGCATTGCCGAGGGTATTCCAATTTTGTCATGATATATGTAATGCATAGCAGAAGGCATGCCCGATTCCATAAAGTATATAGATTCTTGATTAGCATCAATAGCCGAGTCGTTATAGCCAGGTACGACTGTCCGTCTGTCTGTTAGTTAGTCTCTCCATTTTGCATAGATCCTTCTCTCTGTTCCGGACCTGATCGGCGCACTATATCATCATATAGCTTTAATAGGAATCGACGATAGGTCGCAAGATATTTTCTTGTATAGAAATATTTGCTTGTTCCCTGAGATTTCTCATCTTGGTTAAACTATGTGCTTGCATATGAGTCAAATCCTATCAATATCCCTCTTTTATATTATATAGTTCTATAGGCAGAATCGTCTATTCTGTTTTCCAGCGATATTTTCATCAAAGTCAGCATTTACTTCCCTATTCCCACATCAAAGATGTCTCAGAGCATTAAATCTTCGGCTTGCCTACATACATGTTATTTACAGGGTATCATAAAATTGAAAGCAGCGCATTGCTGCGGGCCGGGGCTGTGGGTTTGAGGGCATGGTCGGGCTGTCAGTGAAACTGAAAACATGCAACTAAACTGCCGCCGCATTTTACAGACAACTTGCCACACTGGCCGCACGGCCAAGCGAAGCCAAGCCAACGCCCCGCCCTGCTCCTTTTTGGCGACACTTTCAGCTGCCTGCCTTTCTATGGCAGCAGCTCCATAGTTGTGCTGCTTCTTGTCACTTGCCAGAAAAAACACCAGACCGCCCGCCCGCCCTCTGCCCGCATGCTGGGCCAGCTTTATGGGCCTTAAAGCGTGCGGGCCAAGCCGCTTAAGTGTGCTGTTAAGGGCCTGTTAATTTTATTGATACCAGCGCCGATCGAATGTTCTTGCCCCCTCTGAGAGGCAAAGGCGTGGGCGTGCCAGTCCAGGGCAGGCGTTCGAAAGCAGTGAGAAGGGGGAAGGGCGCCAACAATTGGAGCAAGTGGTGCATGGGCGCTCGACGTTGACATGCCCGACACATGTTGCGGTCCCCCCAAGGATGTGTTTCTATTTGTGTCAATGTGTGTGTGTGTGTGTTGTGGCACGCTTAGCAGCGCATTTGTGTGCGTGCGTGTGTGTGACACCATGCAATGCCGCGCAACCACAAGGCTGATCCACTCAAGTCTAAGCTGAGGCAAGCACAGTCCAAAAGTCAAAGGCAAAGTTGGCTAATGACAAAATCGGGCTTAGAATTCATTAAATTAAAATAATAAAATTGTATCAGAGAGAGGGAGGAGTGAGATGGGGGAAAGGGGAAAACTTACAGTAAGAAATGGGTCAAATCTTATGACAAAGATATATGTTAACCTGTTATTATTATAAGAAATGTAGAAGACTAAACTAATCAATCGACTAACTGATTGATTAACTGACTGACTGACCGACTTACAAGCTGATTGACCGAGTGGCTGATTGACTGATCGACTAGTAGTTGACAGACTGATTGAATGATGTACTAGATGATTTACTAATTGATTGACTGACGGATTGACTGATACACTGGCTGATTGAATGATTGAATTACTCAGTGATGGACTAGCTGATTAACAGACTTACTAACTGATTCGCTGACTGACTAACTAGCTGATTGATTGGCTAATTGGGCTGATTGACTCTAATAATGTGGCTAACAGATTGCCTGAGTGATTGACTGACCAATTGACTAGCTGATTGACTTACTAACTGTTTGACTGACTTTGATTGACTGACTGATAGACTGGCTGATTGACTGTCTGATTCACGGACTGACTGATGGACTGACTGACTGATGGACTGACTGACTGACTGGTTGACTGACTGACAAATTGATGATTGAATGACCAATTCACTAACTGATTGACTGGCTGACCGACTGCTTGACTTATTGGCTGATTGACTGAGAAATTGGCTAAATGACTGACTAAACTGATTGACTAACTAATGGATTAGTTGATTGAATGTCTGATTGTCTTACTGACTGACTGATCAAATGGCTGCCTGATTGTCTGGCTGACTAACTACTTGACTTATAGACAGATTAATTGGGTGAATGACTAATTGATTGGATGATTGAATGACTAACTGATTGACTAACTAATGGATTAGTTGATTGACTGTCTGACTGACTGCCTGATCAAATGGCTGCTTGATTGACTGGCTGACTAACTACTTGACTTATTGAATGATTGATTGGGTGATTGAATGACTGACCGATTGCTTAACATACTGACTGATAGCCCAAGCCACACTAACTAGAAGGACGCAGTTTTGACTGTAGTTACATTAGGTACCTACCAATTTAAGTTCTTGGTTGTATGATATTTTGAAAACTGCTTGCTTATAATATTATTAATATCGAAAACTCTCCAACTTACCATAGAAGTGCAGATGTGTCCAATTACCGCCAAGGAAAAAAAACATGTTGATTTCTTAATATCTTGAATTTCATTTTATTCATTTTATTCCAATCGCTGGTTGACCCTAGTATATATAGTGTGTCAAATGCTCGCTTAGTGTAGCCTTCACATAGTAGTTACCATTTTTCGTTTTTCGTTCTAAATCAGTTTTTCAGCTTTTACTGTTCCATGCTCTGCGCTCAATCTTAATCGAATCGATCATCTCTTTGGCTAACTGGGCTACACATATACATATATATATATATATATATATATATATGTTTTGGCATACCTTACATACACATACACACATATCAATCAATTATCGATTTAATGCATAACTTAAGTTAAATAACAATCACATTTACTTATTTTTTTTTTGTTTTTTCATTTTCCGTTTACTTTTCTTTTCGGTTTTCGTTTGGCTTTATTTTTCTTATTAGAAAAAAAAAAAAACTGGCACTTGCCTAGATTCATATTTCTATATGGGGTTATATAAGTATATCATATATATATATTTATATATATATATATCAATCATTATCATATATATATTCTTGTTTTGTGCCTGCATCTTACAAACAAATTGTCAATAAAACAATTGAAAACAATCGAATCAACAAAAAACTTAAAAAACTTGCGTTCGTTCGTTTTGGAACCGATCGGAACCGATCTATATAACTTGCCATATCCTTTGGGTATTGCACATATAATTCTCTACTTGTAAAAAACAAAAAAAAAAACAAAAACGTGTGCCACTTGCAGTGCACGCATTTTTCTTCATTTTCTTTGATTTCATTTATCATTTATCTTTAATTGTTATAATAATTTCTTTTAGTTTTGTTTTTGTGAAATCTCGAGTTTTACTTAATAAATGTTTTACGTCTATTTATTTAGAGAGTTCTCTTCTTTTCATTTTCATTTTCTGTTGTATAATTCTTTACGTTCTGGGCAAATATTTGATTTTGCTTTTATCTCTTTATTAACTTTTACGTTTTACCTTTTACCATTTACGGAATATTGAATTGTTTATCTTAGTTACACTTAGTACATCAATATATAGTTTATGTTTTGTTCTAAATTTGAAGTCCTGTGTTTTTTTTTTTGTTTGTTTTGTTTTTTGTATTGTTTACGAAAAGAAAACTATTTGCTAGTCGCTAGTTGTTCAAGGATTACACGAGATGCTCACGTATCGTATTTGTATATGTAAAGTTCTTATAGATTGTATAAATTGTTATTGTAAATTGTGTGTTGTCTTGTTCTATATTAATTTCGGCACATTTGATTACTTTTCACAAAACGAATTCAAATAAATGTCAACGATTATCGGAGTACGATTCGAAAACACGCCAAATGTGTATAGATTCTGCAAACTCTTCGGATGCGAACTGTTGACACCACAAAAAGTCAGCATATCAAATTTGACAGCTCTAGCTCTTCTGAAAGCCGAGTTCTTTGGGTTAGTTGCTCAAATTATGAGCGCTCTTTGCAGAGCTTTTGTATGCAAGAAGTTGACTGCGAAATAAGCTAACATACCAAAAATCAAGACTCTAGCGCGTGTAATTACCAAGTTCAATGGGTTAGTTGCTCTGCTAAAGTGTTGCTATATTTGATTGAACTCTTGGATATGCACAACTTAAGACCTAAACAATCGGCATATCAAATTTGACAGCTCTAGCTCTTGTGAGAGCCGAGTTCTTTGGGTTAGTTGCTCAAATAATGGGCGCTCTGTGCAGGGCTTTTGTATGCAAGAAGTTGGCTGCGAAATAAGCTAGTTACCAGGCTCACTGGGGTGGTTCCAGCTATAAAATGTTGTTACATATTTTATTGAACTCTTGGATATGCACAGCTAAGACCCTAAAAAGAGAGAGCATAGAAAATTGTACAGCGCTGTCGCTTAAAATAGTCGATTTCTTTGGATTAGTTGCTTTGATGAATAATTTGTGGCGCAATCAATTTGTGTCTGAATGTAAATGTATGTGCAAGCAATTAAAATGTATTATTTATGCATTTTATGGTGAACTGGCGGGGCGGGACATTTTTATTCATTTTGTGAAGGGATTCGTTTCGATTGTGGCTTAATTGTAGAGTTATTTGTAGTTAGACATTGAAATAGCAGACGTCAGCCGCAAATAGACAAACAATTAATTATGTTTTATTTTTGTTTTGTTTTTTTTTTTTTTTTTATATTTATCGCATTTGAATTGTTTTTATGTTTTCTATATATATATATATATATATATATATTATGCTTTTGTTTCTATCAATATTTGAAAAATCAACAAACAGTTAATTGGAAAAAGTTGAAAATTCTTTTGTTCACGCATTCATATTCATATTTATATTTAGCTTTTTTTGCTTTTGGATTATTATTTTGTTATGCTGCCTAACGCTTAGCCTAGCCTAAACATTTGACACATGTGTGTGTGTGTGTGTGTGTGTCTGTGTGTGTGTGTGGGTGGGGAGAGGGCTTAGCTCAACCCAACCGCTGCATGTTTTTTTGGAAAAAAAAATACCTCTTCGATCGATCTCTAAGTTACTTAGATATTAGATATTATATTGAGTACACGCGAATATCGTACCTGCAACGCGTGTTGTGCTCTTCTTCTTCTTGCCCGTTCTTCTTCTTCTTCGTCGTCGTCTGCTTCTTCTTTTGCTTACCTTCAACGCGCGTTGCCAACTGTTGCTCTTCTGCTTATTCCTCTAGACATTTGCTGCTGCTTCATCTTCTGGCTTAGCTTCTTCTGCTGCTTCTTCTTGTTCTTTTTCTGCTGCTGCTTCTTCTTCTTCTTAACTGCCATTCACATCGACTGCCATGGGCTGTGCAACCGCATGCAGCCCATTGCTGAGACTGCCCCCCGCGCATAGCGTGGAGCCGCCGCCGGCCACCGGCGAGCCGCTGGGCGTGGCGGGCGGCGAGGCCGGCGGCGTCAATGTGGACGGCTCCTGCCCCCCGCCATTGGCTGCGGCTGCTGTTGTTGTTGTTGGTGGTGCATTGCTAGCGATGATTTTGCCATTGGCTAGCTTCATTATTGGCTCTGGCTGATTCTGTTCCTGCTCCTGCTCCTGCTTCTGCTCCTGCTTCTGCTCCTGCTGTTGCTCCTGCTCTTGCTCCTCGTTGTGTGCGCTGCCATTTGGTGCCTCGTTTAGCGGCGGCGGTGGTGGCGGCGGTAATGAATCCAATTGATTCGATTCGTTTAGCGTAAAATCGTTGAGCTCTTTAATCTCCTCGGTGGAGGGCGGCGCCGGCAGGCTCATCAAGCTGTCATAGCCATTTTCCGGCTGCTCCCTGGTCTGCTCCTGAACTATCTCAGCTGGCATCGACTCCTGCCCGGCATCTGCCTCTTCTAGTGCCTCCGGCTGTTCTGCGGCATTGCAGAAGGCGGCGGGTGCCGGCACCGGCGACTCCTCCAACTGTGCCTGCGGCTCCTGGTCATTATCGGTGGTTTCCTGGCCGGCGATTAGCTGGGCGCTGAGCAAATGTGACGAGTCCTGGGCATAGCCGGGCTGCTCGATGACATAGAGTTCCTGGTTGCCATAGGAGTAGCGCTTGTTCGAGTCACTGGATGAGCTGGAGCTCAGATCCGACTGGGACAGTCCGGTTAGCGATGGCATCGGCTGTCGCTCCTCGTCCCCGGCTGGTTCCTCCTCAGGCAGCAGCTGCTCTTCCTCAATGAGCTGCAGGCCAACAGCACCGACTCCGGATCCGACTGCGACTGCGACTGGCAACGAGGGATTGGCAAAATCGCTGGGTGGCGCATGGATCTGCACCTGCTCATGACTGGGCGGCAGGCTCCGTTCGACCAGCGCCGCTGCCTGCTTGGTGTTCGTATCGAAGGGCAGCTCGGTAATGTCTGCGCCGGGGCCGACGCCGGCGGCGGGGCTATCCGGCGGCTGCTTAGAATCGATGCCGCGCGCCACCTCCACCACGAAGACGCCGTCCTTGTCCGTGTGCATTTTGGTCTCGCGTGCGTTGCGCGAAATGTCCTGCATTGGAGGCGAGAAGAGGAAAGGAGAGCGGCAAATCAGCTACTGGCTGTGGTGGGAATGGGGCGTGGCAGGCAACAACAACAGCAAGGGGTGGGGTAGGGTGAGGGTGCAGGCAGGAAACGGGCGTGCTAAATGCTTGCCACAAGCGGCAGCGGCGTCGGCAGCAGGCGAACAAATCGTGCAGCTGCCATGCGGAAAGTGCCGAAAATTGCATTTGCATATGCTTTGGCTTGTGGCACATTTACACCTCATACACTGAGAGAAAGAGAAAGAGGGAGAAAGAGTGAGGGAAAAGGAGTGTGGGGAACACAGGTGTGACTGAGGCTTGCAGCGGATATCCTGGGTTGAGCTGCTTGACAAATAGCTGAGACTCGAAACCCAAAGGATGACAGGAAGACAAACGGCCAACAACAAGTGATCCAATCGAGGCTGCTCGAACAGAAAATACCCTGTACCCAATATGCCAACTAGAACCATCCGATTAATCGATGGATATAATTGAAAACCGAGAGACTTGAGTTTTCGAGTAGCGACAAGCAAAAAAGTTTGAGCTGTTTGAGTCAGAAACATGTTCGAGCTCGAACTGCTCGATACAGTAACATGTTTGAGCTTGAACTGATCGAGTCAGCAACATGTTCGAGCTCGAACTGATCGAGTCAGCAACATGTTCGAGCTCGACTTGCTTCTATAGTCGCTGATACATACGGACCAAAACATACATTACATTTAATGCAGATCAAGTAGACGTTCTTCCATCTGTTACACACATATCTTCTACCCTTTCCATTGGGTGCAGGGTATAGAAACAAAAGTTGGGAGTGGGAGAATAGGCGGTAAACGTGCGGATGACAACAAGTGGATACCCAAAGGATACACCAGCTGCAGTTGAAGGACACAAATTTCAAGAATCGAGCACAGTCAAGTCGATGAAAGGGATGAGCACAACAAAAGTTTCAAGAGGAAAAGAGACTGCAAGCGCACTCGTGATAATATTTACAGCTGTCGCTTTAGCGCTCAATCAGCTATTGATTAATGCTCGATAACATTAAGAGTTGATTGATTAGAAAAGGAACAGGTTGTTCAGCTGTCTCTTTCGATCTCAAGCAACTTTAGTCTTGAATAGAAAGGGGGAGAGATAGAGAGAGAGAGTAAGAGACAAGTAGCGAAATATATACAGGGTTGTGTACAATAGATCTCTCTCTAGCTCCGTCCCTCTCCAACTCGTTTAAGGAGACAACTATGTACACATTCCACGATCAAAAGAGCGAAAGAGACGATTACCAGCTGAAGTACAACAATGGGAGTTATTCGGGCTGAAAGAGCAGGCAGACAACAATACAACGACAACAACAACAAAAACAACAACGGCAATCAATCAATCAATCAATCAGTGCTACGACAACAACAATCGAGACAGAGACGGAGATAATGACTACATTAGAGTGCGACAAAGTATTGTATGAGTTAGACAGAGAGCGAGAGACAAACAGTTAGAGATGCGAGCAAAAGACAATAAGAAGCGAGCAAAAAGTGTGACACAACAAAGAGAGACAAATATTTGACAAAATACAGTTATAAAGATGCACACAAACTCGCGAAGGGAGTGGCTATAAATGTTCCGGAACTGGCTAGACAACTATGAGCTAGTTCAAGTGAGTTAGTTCACATCAAATCAAAGTAAAGTTGAAAATTAAATCTTGCTGGAATCGAACTATAGTTCTTTTTTTATAGGGTTTTGTGCACTGGAGTGAACTAGTTCCATTAACTAGTTCAGTACGTCTTAAGTACACTAAGGCTTGGATAGCCATTCATAATTGATAACGTGAACTTATTTGGTACTCACTAGCTCAAAATCCACAACATTGACCTAAGGCTGGTTCCGTGAACTAGTTTATGGACTCTAGAGCACTGTTTCTGGCAGCTTATTGAGGCACATTTAAACATAGGCTGATTTTGAACAGCTTTAAGTAATATCTATCCTATCCAAAGAATTTGAGGAACTAGTTCCAACAGAAACTTTAAACGCGAACTAGTTCAGCGCTCCAGCATTACCAAAGCTAAATGATATTTTAACCTACTCCCGCAAAGAAATTATCGATAAAAGTTTCGTATTGGTATAACTTTGATATCTAGCTAGTTCCATGAACTAGTTTTATTGCTGGCTCACTAAGTAAACCAACATAAAGGCTGAACTTTAAATGATATTATTGATAGCTAACTTAATTTGTATCTAAGCTCAAGTGTTGGTCTACAGATTCTAAAGAACTAGTTCACAGAAAAATGAACCATTCTTCTCAGCATATTAGTGTGCATCTTTAACTATTTAAAGTGATTGCAGTGCGAGTAAAAGAGACGACAACGACAAAAGACATGACAAACAGTTGAGCAGCTTAACAGCTGTTAACTAACAGCTGTTAACGCTGTTCACAGTTGAACTTACATGCCGCTCTTCGGTGACAACAATCAGATGATTATCTTTGAGCGTCATCTTTGTGACGGAGCCACTGAACGCGAACGCAGCGCTCGCCAATGTGGACGTGGCAGCGCCCGTCGATGTGGGCGTCTGTATATCTGGGCGCGCCTCAAATTGAAACTCGATGCGCTGCACGCCGCTGGCCAGGGCCAAGGACATGGACCGAATCAGATCCGCATTTCGACTCGAGTCCGGATTCGGATTCGGTTCCGGATTCGAATACGGATTCGGATTCAGATTCACGTGTTGAATGCTCAGCTGCGATATTGGCGACGAGAAGGATGCGACCGAGCAGGACGACGACTGTAAAGTAACAGAGTGAACACAGGCTTTTAGTGAACTCACACACACGCTCACACACACACGCACACACTCACACACGCACACACAACAGCTGAGCGACGCAGAGCCCAAGCCCCAAAGTTGAACTAGTTTTAAGCTGCGCAACTATTTGAATGCAATTAAATTACGCTGAGGCAAATTCGCAATTTTACGCAACATTTTTTGGCATTGTTTGCAGTTTAGGGAAAAGGCGGCGCGATGGGCGTGGCCGAAGCGTGGCGCCGCGCAAAAAATTGTTCCAACACCTGACGGCATTTGCCTTCGCATTTCAATTGAAGTTTTGTTTGTTGCGTTTCTTTTACTACTTCATAGCCTGCTGCTGCTGTTGCTTCCTCCTCATCATCATCTCCAACATCTTGATCATCATCATCTATCGTTAGCTTTAACTGGCGCTTCATCATTTAGTTGGACGCACTTACCTCATTCTTGGAATCCTGGCCCTGTTCGCTGTCATCGCCAGCGGCACTCGAAGTCGCATTCTTATTCAGTAAATAACTGCAAAGGGAAATAGAAAGAGAGAGAGAGAGAGAGTGAGAACGTGAGAGAGTTAGAGACGCAGAGAAGTCAGTGAGTTGGTATCATTATAAAATCGCATGCATATTAAATGTGCATGAAATGCAAGTGGAATGCACAAAGTTTGTTGCCTACTTTGTGTTGCAAACATCAATGAATGTTTGCGTCAGTGCTGCCCTTCTGTTCGAAAATAACGAGTAGCGACAGAGTGCTGCCTATCTGCTTGTAAAAGAGCTGGGACGTATAGAAACTAGGGAACAGATAGAATGTTTAATCTTTTGTGTTGAAGTGCTGCCTATCTACTCGAAAATAGTGAGTTGCAACAGAGTGCTGCCCATCTGCTTATAGAAGAGCTGGGGACACATAAAAACTAGGGATAACTGGCAATGTGGCTTTGTGGTTGTGTGTTGCAGTGCTGCCCACAGATAAGCAAAAAAGTATGGAAGTGCTGCCCATTTGTTTCTAAAAACCTGTCAAGCGTAAATCGGACTGCTGACTGCTAATAGAAGTTAACATATATGTGTAACAGTGCTGCCAATCGGCTGGAAAAGTCTTTAATAATATTTAATGTATATGGTATACGATTAATCGCGCAGTTTTTGTAGTGCTGCCCATTTTTACAACTTTTTTTCAGAGGGAGAGATAAACGGCATTCAGTTAGTTACCAAATATTGTCGTTGATATGTTCAGTGCTGCCCATCTAGAGAGTCTTACAGCTTTCTCAAAAGCATCAGCCGCGAGAGAAGCACAAACAGGTCAACAACATGAATGCAGCTTATCGACTTTTGCAGCGTGTTGTCTGCTGACTTATAGACTGACTTTAGAGCCCGAACAGCTGTCTATCTACCTAAAAAGGTTAACATGCTTGTAGGAGATTAGAGAATATGTAGAGCTAAGAGTTACAAAGCACTTGACATGTTGCCGAAGTGGCGGGAGCTGGAGAAAGAAGCGGGAAACACTTTAATGCTCTTTGATAGAAGAACAGCTGTCGAGTGCTGCCCAGCTGCTCGAAAGAGCTGCCCAGGCTAACAGCCACAACACGCTCAAGTGCTGCCCATCTGCTAGAAAAAGCAGATGGCGAAAACTGAGCTTATGATACTTTGGCAAATACTAAGCAGCACATGACACCTGGTGTGTGTGTGAGTGTGTGTGTGTTGCACATGAGTAATAGAAAAGTTTTTTACACACCACCCTCCCTCCAGCCTTGAGTTCGTCAAGCACACTTGAGAGACCTTCGCATTTAACAGTCGTTTTTAATGCGTTTCTCAGTGCAAATTGTCGCACACACACACACGCACACACACACATACGCACGCACAACTAATTTCTCGTCTCGACAGTTTATTGTGCAATTTCCTCTTCAGCCTCCACACACACCCACCTATTCGACCCACCCATCCCCCTTCTATCAGTTGCTCGTGTGACCGCAAGCAACACAAAAAAAAGAGGAGAAGAAGACGGAGGAAAAACACTGGGAAAATTTATTTCCGCTGCGCATTTGTCGACTCTCATCTGCGGCCGCCGTCGTGTGGCACCTTTTTGTGGCAACTGGCAACTGGCAACTGGTTTGCGGTTTCCCATTTTGACGTTTTATGCGTTCGTTTCCTTTGCGCCTCGCTTCGGTTCGGTTCATGCAACACGCAGCGACGCCTCGCGCCTTGTTAGCTTCAATGCCACTTGCCATCTTCATCATCTTCACTTGTCTCTGCCCCTCCCTCTCTCTCTGTCTCTCTCTCTCTCTTGCTTCACCGTTTGGCGACTTCCGCTTCCGGCGCCTTGTGTCGACGCGCCCGTCTTTGATTTGTGGCGCCTTTAGATTTTCGGGCCAGCTTTTATTCCGCCCGCCGGCGCCTCTCAGCCACTTCTTATATCCCCCCCCCCCCCACCCCCTCTTCACCTCTCTCACCCGCACGCATGGCCTTCATTTTGTTTGGCATTTAGTGGCCGCATATAAAAAGGCAATGGCAACAAATTCCCATTTACGTGGCATGCTCGAGATTTATGTGTATCGCAGCAGGCACTGCGGAGGCGGGCCGTGTTTGGGGGGCGGGCGTGGCAGTTTAGAGCTGCCCGCCTGAAAGGATGTTGCGTGCTGACATTGCGTCACAGCCCGTCGTCTCGTCCTGGCCGTAGTCACAGATTTGCGAGAAATAAAATGCCAGAATGAAGCTGATAAATGCGATTTGCCACGCCTTCCATCTAACAATAACTCCCCTGTGTATTAAGCGTGCCAGCTGAGTGTGCGTGTGTGTGTGTGTGTGTGTGTGTATTTGCCAGGTAACCCTTCGAGCACTTGGCAACTGACTGCAGCAGCTTCATCCTGCCTCAATTTGTCATTTGCTGCGTGGCAGAGTCGCTTCTCGTTGCGCCTCGCTGCTTATTGCAACAATTGCCAGCATTTTGGCTTTCAAACAGACAGCCCCTCCCCCTCCCCCTCCCACCTGCTTGCGGCAACTGCTTTGTGATTATTTTCAACTTCATTGAGCACACGCAATTATTTTTAAGTTCAAGGACAGCGCGTCTGAGCTGATTAAACACACGCCGGTTTGGAATTCATGATGAACTCTAGACACAACCCTGCTGAGGCTCGAGGGGATTGCTGTCTGTTGCTTATTTAAATATTTATTGCACTTAGCTCAAGAGCTACGAAAGGAAACCCGACTTAAACAACGATTTGTTACATCGAATAAGAAAATAGTCTAGAATGAAAATCATTTTGATATGTTCGAACATTTGATATCTTTACATCGTTTTTTTCTACAGTTTTGAAACTAATTTATAGCATTCAGATAAAAGCTTAGCCTATCGATTTGTTCTCAGTATCCAATTGGCAGATTGACAGGCTGATTGACTATCTAACTGATTCATTGACTGACTGACGGACTGACCGACTGATTGAAATACTGTCTGACAGATTGCGTGACTAGCAAGCTGATTAATGAATCACTGTCTGATTGATAGATTGACCGACTGAAGAGATTGAGTAACTGACTTCAGTCTGATTGATTGGCCAACTATCTGATTGATAGACTGACGGCTGACTGAATAACCTACTGAATGACTGTTTGACGTACTGTCTGATTGGTGCACCAACAACCTGATGGATTAACCGATGACTGACTGATTGACATACTTTTTGACGGATTGACTGACTGGCAAACTGATTGATAAGTTTTTGCTATCCAAAGTTGCCAGAAATTTTGACTCATGTCAATATAAGTAATTTGAGGGCACAATGCCAAATTGATTTAGAGGTCAAACCATGAACAAAAAGGCAAACCTTATGAAAATCGGATGAGATTTGACCCAGTTATGGGGTTAGGAAATTTTGACTTAAGTCTAATTAGGATATTTGAAGGCACAATTTTTACATGAATTTTGACCAAAAAATTTGTTGCCAGGTTTTGATGCCAAATTGATTTAGAGGTCAAACCATGAACAAAAAGCCAAACCTTATGAAAATCGGATGAGATTTGACCCAGTTATGGGGCTGGGAAGTTTTGACTTATGTCTATATAGGATATTTGAGGGATTAAGTTTTACATGTATTTTGACCAAAAAAATTTGTTGACAGGTTTTGATGCCAATTTGATTTAGAGGTCAAACCATGAACAAAAAGCCAAACCTTATGAAAATCGGATGAGATTTGACCCAGTTATGGGGCTGGGAAGTTTTGACTTATGTCTATATAGGATATTTGAGGGTATAAGTTTTACATGTATTTTGACCAAAAAAATTTGTTGCCAGGTTTTGATGCCAATTTGATTTAGAGGTCAAACCATGAACAAAAAGCCAAACCTTATGAAAATCGGATGAGATTTGACCGAATTATGGGGTTGGGAAATTTTGACTTATGTCTAATTAGGATATTTGAAGGCACAATTTTTACATGAATATTGACCAAAAAAATTCGTTGCCAGGTTTTGATGCCAAATTGATTTAGAGGTCAAACCATGAACAAAAAGCCAAACCTTATGAAAATCGGATGAGATTTGACCCAGTTATGGGGCTGGGAAGTTTTGACTTATGTCTATATAGGATATTTGAGGGATTAAGTTTTACATGTATGTTGACCAAAAAAATTTGTTGCCAGGTTTTGATGCCAATTTGATTTAGAGGTCAAACCATGAACAAAAAGCCAAACCTTATGAAAATCGGATGAGATTTGACCCAGTTATGGGGCTGGGAAGTTTTGACTTATGTCTATATAGGATATTTGAGGGTATAAGTTTTACATGTATTTTGACCAAAAAAATTTGTTGCCAGGTTTTGATGCCAATTTGATTTAGAGGTCAAGCCATGAACAAAAAGCCAAACCTTATGAAAATCGGATGAGATTTGACCCAGCTATGGGGCTGGGAAGTTTTGACTTATGTCTAATTAGGATATTTGAGGGTATAAATTTTACTTGAATTTTGACCAAAAATACTGTTGCCAGATTTTGATGCCAAATTGATTTAGATTAACCGATGACTGACTGATTGACATACTTTTTGACGGATTGACTGACTGGCAAACTGATTGATAAGTTTTTGCTATCCAAAGTTGCCAGAAATTTTGACTCATGTCAATATAAGTAATTTGAGGGCACAATGCCAAATTGATTTAGAGGTCAAACCATGAACAAAAAGGCAAACCTTATGAAAATCGGATGAGATTTGACCCAGTTATGGGGTTAGGAAATTTTGACTTAAGTCTAATTAGGATATTTGAAGGCACAATTTTTACATGAATTTTGACCAAAAAAATTTGTTGCCAGGTTTTGATGCCAAATTGATTTAGAGGTCAAACCATGAACAAAAAGCCAAACCTTATGAAAATCGGATGAGATTTGACCCAGTTATGGGGCTGGGAAGTTTTGACTTATGTCTAATTAGGATATTTGAGGGATTAAATTTTACATGAATTTTGACCAAAAAATTTGTTGCCAGGTTTTGATGCCAAATTGATTTAGAGGTCAAACAATGAACAAAAAGCCAAAC